GGTGTGTGCATCCAAAATCCCAAGGGGAGAGTGGAGAAGAGATTGCAGCATGGCCATCTGCCTGGGAGGTGCTTTCTCACTTTCTCTCTTTCTTTGGCAGGCACATGCATCCTATAGCAAAAACTTAAAAAAATTAAAAAAAAGGAAAGACACACCGGGCATGTGTGTGTAAAGTCCCTAAAGGAGAAAATAGAGGAGACAAGATTGTAGCGGGACCATTTTCCATTTTTTCTGTTTATTAATTGCCAGAAAGCATGTATGTTGATGAGAGAGAGAGAGGGAGGGAGGGGGGAAAGAGAGGAAAAGAAAGTGAAAGCACCTTCCAGTGGGGCAAGGTCATACTGTAATCCCTTCTCCTCCATTTCTCCATCCCACTGGGATTTTGGCCACACACACACACACACACACACACACACACACGCCCAGCTTGTTTTTCAAGCTGTTGGGGCTGGAATGCAAGCTATAGTTGGCCACGTAGGATCTGGCTTTCTTAACCACTAGGCCATGGGGCTAGTTATTCATACTTGAAGAGGAGCTGATAAGAAATGACCTGAAAGTCCACAGGCTGATGGTAAGCACTGCATTGATTCCAGGCTCTTTTTTTCCCAGTAAGTTGTGAACGATTTCACCCCTGATATCTTTGGTTTGTTTTAAACTAATTTTTTTTGAAACTTCCTTTTTTAATAAGTTTTTCATCTCCTTCAACTATGGTAGGAATGGAAATAAAGGTCAAATTTCATTCCAGAATAGAGAATGAGGATAACTGGATAGATATCTTTATTCCAACTATAATATTGCCAACTATAATATAAAAATGCTTTGAATGAAATAAATTAACATCAGTTGTATAAGTCAAAGTTGCTAGATATGAGACATCTACAGAAATGTTTGGCTTAATCATAAATAATAATAGAAAAAAATATCAGTAACATTGTACATCAGTTAAAACTACTTACTTTTGAAGTTTTTTTGTGTTGCTTGATATGATTGGATAAACTTTCCTGGCAGTTATGAGCAGTAACCTGTAAACATGCGCTCTTGGTTACCATACTGTCTTCAGCCAATGATGAACTGTTACTTTCTTCTATGTCATAGTAGCTTGCCGTTTATCATAGCAACCCCAAACATTGTTTTACTTTGTTCTTGACAGTATTAGCAAGCTCAGTGTTAAACTGAATGTCTTTGGATTTGATTTTTGGATTAGTTTCAAGTAGTCATTTATTTTTTTCTCTTTGATCCACTGCCTCTTAATACCAGTCTCAAATCCAAGACATGGATTCTTGTGTGTCTTGGAAACGATAATTATTTCATTTTAGTCTGAGGCCTGCCTCTTTAATTCTATGATTGGAATATTTATTCTTTTTGGTTTGAGTTTTTTATTTAGAAATTCTTAACCTAAAATTTTTAGCTATTAATCTGTGAAATTCATCCTGGGATGCTAAACTCTATTTGGTAGAATTGCCAGCATCTAGAAGACTTTTCATTTTTCTTTAGCCGCAACTAGTCTTAAAAGGCCTACCCAACTCATATTCCTGCAGGTAAGAGTGTCTTTATTAGTGGTAGAATTTGGGGACCTCCTACATAATTTTTTTATAATAGATGAGCTGGATGATTGCCAAATAGCCTTTAAATTTCACTTTCTGCTCCATTTATTGGGTCATTGGGAAAGTCATGATGCATTCTTACATATAAAACCAGAAAAATACGTCATGACTTTCCTTGCAACCTAATAGTTACTAACTCCCCCACGCTTTTCCAGTTGTTGCCCTGTTGGGTACCTGGAACTGTCTGCTCTGAGCCCAGTGTCTGCAGCTGGACTCTATCAGTACTTTGTGGTGTAGTCAGAACAAGGACTAGAAACTACCCTCATCTGAAAGAAATGTTTCTGGCCCTCAGTGTAGGACTTGTGCTTGGTTAACTTGGTTTCTGCAGAACCATTTATTTTTGTTTTTTAGAGAGAGATATTTACTTTAGGGCATGTGCACTTGCCTGAGAGACAGAGACAGAAAGCAAGAAATCACCCCCCAGGGGGAATGGCCATGCTGCAGTCCCTTCTCTTTCATTTTTCTCTCAGGATCTTGGGCACGCATACGTGCCCAGCATTGTTTTAAGTCACTAGGTCTGGGACTTGAACCACGGTTGACTACGTGGGAGTCTAGCAACTAACCATTATGACATCTGCTGGTCCCCGCAGAATCACTTACAACCATTTCTTGCTTCTTTTTCATTAGGTGTATGTAAGTTGGCTTTGACTGTGAGTGCTTCCTGTTAATGCTTAAAACTGAGATTTGTGTTTTCATTATCCCCAATAATAGAAGAGACTAGAGGGCAGGGTTTTTTTTTTTTCTTTTCTTTTTTTAAGGTTTTTGCCATATGGTGTATGCACTCACCATAGAGAGACATATAGTTGCCTTAACCTCCATGCCACCTTCTGGCCTTTGATAGCATATTCTAAAAGATGTAATAAATATTTATAATAGCATGTAATAGAAAAATCAAGTGTGAACTTAGTGCATGTTTATTTTGGTTTTAGGAACTCATATCTTCCCCCCTCCCCACATGCAGACACACCTACACTTTTAGGGTTGTCTTTATGTGATTCTTTACAAAATACTTCCTGTTGAAATTAAGATGATAATTTCTGAAGTGGATGCTGTCAATTAATTTAATAGTTACTCAATAGAAACTACTTTTTAATTAAAAAACACTTTAATTTGCTTCCTGTGTACTTTATTAACACAGCTCACACCTCTGGAATTACACACTGTCTCATTTAATTTGAGAGTAACAGCTGAATTAATAGAGATCCTATGTCAGTGACAAAGACAAGGTACTAACTTCACTTTTCACTGTGCTGATAACCATCTTTGGATAAATGCAAGATTATATGTAGAGGACTTAGCATCCTCATCTAAAACAGAACTAGGCCTTCTTGGGATTCATAGAATTTGCAGTACAAGTTGTCCACTTACTCGACTTGAATAGAAATTTATTTTCTGTCAGTATCTTCTCTTACAAGCACTGCAAGGAAGTATCAACGTACACTTTTTTTTATTGTCAGAGAGCAGGCCACTTGTGCATAAGAGTGTGGGTGTGAGCACATGCATTTATCCTGTCAGGATTCTGGGCACACATAAATGCACACACACCTGGTATGTTTTTCAAGCTGGTGGATCTGGGACTTGAACTGTATGGTCGGCCATGTAGGATGTGGTTCCCTTAACCCCCAGGCCATGAGGATAGCTCAGTCTTTGTGACTTCTAAATGGCTTGTTTAAAGGCAAAATGTACTGTAAAAGATGTAGGAATTTGTCTAAGAGAGGAAATTTTATACATTGAGAACTGTCAGTTCTTGAAAATATGAGCAGTTCTTCTTTTAACTATAAGCTGAGTCTTTTTCTAGCTCTTGAAACTAGAAACAATTTCTCTGTATTCAAACCAAGCATAGAAATCGGTAATGGTGGGATTGGCAATTCAGCATGGGACTAGACATTCAAACTGCATTCAATGAATATTTTTTATGGTTGGTTGACTTTAAGGCTTGAAACACATTTACTAGTACTAAGACTTAAGATTAAAATCCATCTTTACTTGTGGTTATACTACTAGTATAGGTGGGGAAAACTTACTCTTCCCAGATCTAAATGACCCATAGGCCTTTGTCAAAATTGGTACTCTATTTCACGATTTGATTAGGCCAGTAGGATGAAATCTTTGCTTTGAAGGAAAGTTTTGAGAATATAATAATAAGCCTCTTCACATCTTGAGGATCAGATTCAAATTATGTTTGTGCCATTTCAGTGTGTAAAAAAGTTCGATTGAATTGAAAGGGAAAAAAGGCTATATGGGCCGAGAACAAATAGAGTTGCAAATTTTTATTTGTAGCCCATAGCCTTAGGGAGGAATCCAGTTTGTATAGTCACTTTAATTAATTTTATTGTGAATGTTGACTAAACAGTGGAATTGGGTATCTTGACAGTTGACTTAATTTGAACAGTCACATTAGGTAAGATTGGAAAGTTTGGGGGATGTCACCGTTGGATGTGTTTTCTGGTTTGTTTCTAGTGTCCCTTCTGATATGGAGAGAATTTAATTGATCCACTTGGACTTTACATAACAGGTAAGCGTAATGCCTCATAAATGTGTTCTTGCCTTATTTCAGCTTAACTAATAATCATAATCGAACCCATTGTTCTTAATTATAGTTTGATTGTTTTTCCTCTGATGCATTCTTTTTCTCTTTTAAATTTTATTTATAATAATAATAATATTATTATTATTATTTAACTTGCTATAGGACATGTGTGCTCACCAGAGAGAGAGAGAGAAATCAAGCCTCTGGGTCTGGGACTTGAACCACTGTCAGCCATGTGTGAACACAGTGCCTTAACCACCTCACCACCTGCTGCCCTTGCACATGCATTCTTTTTCCTTTGCCCACACAGAAATTTTTGTACCCACTATCTCCTTTTTCAAGCCCATCTAAGCTCTGCTACCAGCCTCTTGTATACATCATGTTGGGCAAGTCACTAGGCCACTTTGGGGTTTCGTTTCCTTACCTTTAAAACAAAAAAAATAATTTAACTGGATACTATTAAGTTTGTCTATATCTCTAAAAATATCATATCCCTTTATTCATCAAACATTCATGAAACACCTGTGTGCAGGAACAATACAGGGTGCTCTGAGTACAAGTCCCTTGCCTTCAGAGAATGTTCAGGCTGATAGCAAAGAACGCCCTCACTTTTTCAGATCAGCTTAGTCTTTTACTCTGGAAAAATTGTGTAGTATTAGCAGATTTCCTTAATCTTTAGCATTACCCTATAAGACACTTGTTAAAACTGTTAATATTACTTAAATCTTTAATCTGTTAATGAACCCAAATAGGTGCCTAAAGCACAGTAAGGGCAGAACACAGAAACACCAGGATTACAGAGGAGAAAAAGAAAGGCTCTACTGAGCAAGGAGGACAGGAGATGATTCTCAAATTTACTTCTGCTAAAATAAAAAGATAGGATCTTTTGTGGAGACATTTCCCACCCAAGTCCTCAGTCTCTTCCTTATGTGCAAATTAAGGACTGAAACTGGTATAGGTCTGATTTGCTGACCAGAGTCATGGCTCCAGGAGGCTTTCCCTCTGCAGCTGGAGCCAGTCTTAGGTCTCTCAGCCCTCGCCAGGGCCTGTGCCCGCAGGCAGACTTACACAACAAAGCTACTAGGTCTTTCTTTAAAGATTATATCTATATCTATATATATATATAGATATAGATATCTGGGGAAAACAGTCCTGTTTGTGGCATACTGCTCTGAGTATGTGATAATCAGAGGTTAGGCATTTCTTACAAGATCAGGACAAGCTGGGTGAGCAAAAGTGGTTAAAGTTCAACAGTAAACAAGTACTGCTTCAGTAAATCTATTCAGATTTGCTTTATGATTTCATTTCTAAAAGTACTCATCTCTTTAAATTTTTTTTTTTTTTAATTTATGAGCCAGCTTCCCACCCTGGAAAACGAAGCTGGGTGCCCCATTTTAATTTTGATCAGTTGTTTTCTTCAGTTGATAGAAAATAAACTATGGGACCAGCAGGTGGTGTAGAGGTTAAGGTACTAGATCCCACATGGCTGACAGTGCTGTTCTCATTTCAGACCCAGTGGCTTGAAAATAAGCCTTGGGACCAGCAGATGATGTAATGGTTACATTACTGGTCTCGCACGTAGTCAACCATGGTTTGAATCCCAGACCCTGGAGGCTTAAAACTCATGTTGGGTGCATGTGTGTGCGTTCCCAAAATCTCAAGAGGAGACTGAAGGAAAAGGGATTGTGGTGTGGTTTTCTCCCCAGGGGCTGATTTCTCACTTTCTGTCTCTTTGTCTCTGTCTTTCCGGTGAGTGCATGTGCCCTATAGCAAAAATCTCTTAAAGAAAATCAGTGCTGGGAGTGTGAGCATGCATATCCAAAATCCTGAGAGGAGACTGGAGAAAGGGATTGCAGCATAGTCATCTTCCCTGGGAGGTGATGTCTCACTTTCCCTTGCTCTTGCACTCTCTCGTTCTCTTTGACAAGTGCATGCCCCTATAGGGAAAACAAAATAAAACATAAAAAACAGGAAAGAAAAGAAAAAATAGAAAAGAAATTATGTACCATAGAGTAAGACTCAGAAAAACGATTTATTTATTTATTTATTTATATTTTGGAGAGGTTTTGCTATAGGGTGCGTGCACTCGCCAGAAAGACAGAGAGAGACAGAGAGACAGAAAGCGAGAAATCACCCTCCAGGGGGATGGCCATGCCGCAATCCCTTCTTCATTCTCCTCTCGGGATCTTGGGCATGCATGCACATGCACCTGGCATGAGTTTAAGCCATCGGATCCAGGACTCAAACTGTGGTCAACTACATGGGAGTCCAGTGACATAGCCATTACGCTACTTGCTGGTCCCATGAATGATTTCTTTAAGGCAAATAAAAAATAAAGGCAGAGTCGGGCCAGCAGGTGGCATGCAGGTTAAGGCTGCTGGATCCCACATGACCAACCGAATTGTTTGAGTCCTGGACTCATCAGTTTTTAAATGGCAGGCACATGTACATGTCTGCCCAATATCCTTTTTTAAAAATAATTATTTAATTTTATTTATTCATTCATTTATTTCCATTTGACTAAAGAAAGACAGAGAAAAGGAAAGTGAGAAAGCAAGCCAAGTCTGGGACTCAGACTGTGGTCGGCCATGTGGGAGTGTCCAGTGCCTTAACCACCATGCCGTCTGCTGGCCCCTGCCCAGTATCCTAACAGGAGAAGAAGGGGTTACAGTATGGCCATGAGTTCTCACTTTCCATCTTTCTCTCTGTATGTCTGTCTTCCTTGAGCTAACACACCCTCTAGCAAAAAAATAACAAACTAGAAAGAAAAAGCCTAGAGGTGTGATAATATAATTTTATATCTATATATAGTATGTAAACTGTAAATATTCTATATAAGATATATGATATATAGAAAAGAGGCCTAAGAAAAATGCTAGAAAAAAATGTTTTTAGAGAGATTTTTGCTGTAGGGCACATACACTTGCCAGAGAGACAGAAAGTGAGAAATTACCCCCAAGGGGGATGGCCCTGTCACAATCCCTTCTCCATTCTCCTCTTGGGATCTTGGGCACACATGCATACGTGCCAGGTATGAGTTTCAAATCTCTGGGACTTGAATGGCAGTCGACCATGTGAGAGTCCAGTGCCTCAACCATTACACCACGGACTGGCCCCTAGAAAAAAATTTCCAAGATTATAGCTTTGTTTAAATTTTTTTTCCAGGTTTTTGCCATAGAGCACGTGTACTTGCCTAAGAGAGGCAGAGAGAGACAGAGAGGGAAAGTGAGAAAATACCCCCTGGGGTATGGCCACACTGCAGTTCCTTCATTCTCTTGGGATTTTTGAGTATGCGTGCACTCACACCTGGTGTGATTTTCAAGCCATCAGATCTGGGACTCAAACCATAGTCTACCATGTGAAAGTCCAGCACCTTAACTACCATGGCACCTGCTAACCCCCTCTGTTTAAAAATTTTCGCACTCAAAGGAAAAAGAGAAGGCCAGCAGATGATGTGGTTGGGGCTCTGGACTCACCTGTGGCCAACTATGGTTAAGAGTCCCGGATCTGGCAGCTTGCTTTCTCACTTTTTGCCTCTCTCTCTGTTCTCTGTTTCTCTCTGGTGAGTGCATGTGCTCTGTGGAAAATTTAAATAATAATCATGATAAAATAAAAATTCAATAATTTTTTAAAAAGAGAGTTTGATAGATGCTACTGGACCTGCGTGACTTTGTAATCCAGAAGATGATTGGACTATAGACAGTGTAGAGGACTCATTCATGTGAAACATTCATAGAAGGGGGAGGAGTGGGACTGCTTCCTTTGACTATGGTCATAGAAGACTTTTTTAAAAAGAGGTTAAAGGGACCAGCAGTTAGAGTAATGGCTATGTCGCTGGACTCCCACGTAGTCTACCGCGGTTCGAGTCCCGGACCTGGCAGCTTAAACTCTCGCCCGGCGTGTGTACATGCGGGCCCAAGAATGGAAGAGAAGGGATTGCGGAGTGGCCATCCCCCCTGGGGGGTGATTTTTCGCTTTCTATCTATCTCTTTGTCTCTGTCTTTCTGGTGAGCGCATGCATCCTATAGCAAAAACCTCTCCAAAAAAAAAAAAAAAAAGAAAGAAAAGAAAGAAATAAAACCCCAGAAGTGTAGATCTGGGAGAATGATCTTCCAGGCTGAGGAAAGATAGTGCAGAGGTCCCAAGATGGAAATAAGCTCTGTTTGTTCATAGGAAGGCCAGTGTGGCTGGGGTGAAGTTAGTGACGAGGGAGAGGGTAGGCCATGAATTTGAGCTGGTAAGTCAACTTGTTATAAAAGGACCCTATAGGGTCAAATAAAGAGGTTGAATTTTATCCTAAGTGTGTTAAATTAGAAGAGTGACATAATCTGATTTACATTTTAAAAGCTCATTGTGGCTGCTCTTCTGAACAGGAACAGCGGAACAGTGTGGGCTACAAAGGGAGCTGAGAGATCAGTTAGGAACCAGTGAACACCATTCAGATGAGGAAAAACCATGTCTGGGACAGAAATGGATGAATGTGCTGTGTGTTGAGAAGTAGGACACCTGACAGGACTTGCTGATGCCATATGAAAAGATAGGGTTTGGGCTTGAGCAACTATGTTGAAGATCGTGCCATTTCGTATTTTAGTCATGTTAGACACTTCAGATTAAGTCATGTTTCGCATAATGATGTTTTGGTCAACATCAGACTGCAGGCGTGACGTCGTCCCATAAAGAGCATATAGAGCTACCACATAGCCTAGGAGTGTAGTAGGCTGTGGCCTCTAGGTTTGTGAAGTACACTGTGTGATGTTTGGAGGATGAAACTGCCTTAAGACACATTTCTCAGAAGGAGTCTCCATTATTACTGACACATGAATCTAATTTAGGAACGGAGCCTTTTAATTTTGTAAGCTTGTGACAAGGGACAGAGTGAGATCTCTGTTAGGGCACTGATTTCTTGGAAACTCCCAGTCTAGAAAATTACTCTGACATGTTAGAATACTAGACATTTTATTTTAAAAAATTAATGATGATTAAGT